ACGAAGCTGTGCACCGGGCCTCTAGTCAGTAATAACTTTAAACATAAATGAACTAACAGCTACAATCAAAAGACATCGAGTGGCTGAATGAATAAGAAAACATGACCTATATATTTGCTGTCTACAAGAGACCCACCTCAGAACAAGGGACTCACACAGACTGAAAGTGAAGGGATGGAAAAATATCTTTCAGGCAAATGGAAATGAAAAAAAAGCTGGGTAGCAATACTTATATATGACAAAATAGACCTCAAAGTGAAGGCCATAACAAGAGATAAGGAAGGCCACTTCATAATACTAACGGGATCAATACAACCAGAGGATATAACTCTGGTAAACATATATGCACCCAATGCAGCAGCACCCAAATACATAAAAATTCTTCTGGAAGATAACAAAGGGAGAGATTGACAGCAATACGATCATAGTAGGGGACTTTAATATTCCACTGACATCACTGGATAAATACTCTAGACAAAAAACCAGCAAAGAAACAGCTATCCTAAATGACTCACTAGTTCAGAAGGACTTCGTTGACATCTTCAGAACATTTCACCCCAAAGCTACAGAATATACATTCTTCTTAAGTGCACATGGGGCATTTTCAAAGATAGATCACATATTGGAACACGGGCAAAGTCTCTCCAAATTCAAGAAGATTGAAATCATATCAAGCATCTTCTAAGACCACAATGGCATAATATTAGAAATCAACTACAATAAAAACAATCAAAAAAATTCAAACACTTGGAGGCTGAGTAACATGCTATTAAAAAATGACTGGGTTACCAAAGAGATCAAAGAAGAAATTAAAAACGTTCTGGAAACGAATGACAATGAAAACACAACAAAACCAAAACTTATGGGACACAGTGAAAGCAGTCCTGAAAGGGAAGTTTGTAGCATTACAGGCCTAATTCAAAAAACAAGAAAAAAATAATAATAAATTATCTAACCCTGCAACTTAAAGAATTAGAAAGAGAGCAACAAGAAAAGCCCAGAATAAACAGAAGGAAGGAAATAATAAAGATCAGAGCAGAAATAAATCACAGAGAGTCCAAAAAAAGAAAAAACAATACAAAAGATCAATGAAACCAAGAGCTGGTTCTTTGAAAGGATAAACAAGATTGATGAGCCCTAACCGGTTTGGCTCAGTGGGTAGAGCGTCAGCCTGTGGACTCAAGGGTCCCAGGTTCGATTCCGGTCAAGGGCATGTACATTGGTTGCTGGCACATCCCCAGTAGGAGGTGTGCAGGAGGCAGCTGATCGATGTTTCTCTCTCATCGATGTTTCTAACTCTCTATCCCTCTCCCTTCCTCTCTGTAAAAAATCAATAAAATATATTTAAAAAAAAAAAGATTGATGAACCCCTAGCCAGGCTCAACAAGAAGCAAAGAGAGAGGACCCAAATAAACAAAATCAGAAATAAAATAGGCAAAATAACAACAGACCGCACAGAAATACAATGGATTGTAAAAAAAGATACTATGAACAACTCTATTCCAACAAACCAAACAACCTAGAGGAAATGGATATATTCCTAGAAAAATACAACTTTCCAAAGCTCAATCAAGAAGAATAAAAAAATCTCAACAGACTGATAAATAAGGAGGAAATTGAAGCAGTCATCAAAAAGCTTCCAGCAAACAAAAGCCGAGGGCCAGACAGCTTCACAGGAGAGTTTCAGCAAATATTTAAAGAAGAACTAAAATCTATCCTTCTCAGACTATTCCAAAAAATTCAAGAGGAAGGCAGGCACACTTCCAAGCTCTTTCTATGAAGTCAGCGTTACCCTAATCCCAAAACCAGATAAAGACACAACAAAGAGAATTACAGACCAATATCCCTGATGAACAATAGATGCTAAAATCCTCAACAAAATTCTAGCAAATCAGATCCAGCATTACATTAGAAAGATCATACACCATGACCAAGTGGGGTTTATTCCAGAGATGCAAGGTTGGTACAATATCCGCAAATCAATAAACTTGATACATCACATAAACAAATTGAAAAACAAAAATCACATAATCCTATTAATTGATGCAGAAAAGGCATTTGACAAAATCCAACACCCTTTCCTGATAAAAACTCTCAGCAAAGTGGGAATAGAGAGATCATACCTCAACATAATAAAAGCACTATATGAAAAACTTAGAGCCAACATCATACTCAATGGGCAAAAACTAAAACCATTTCCCCTAAGAACAGGAACAAGAAAAGGATGCCCACTCTCACCACTCCTGTTCGACATAGTACTGGAACTGCTAGCCATAGTGATAAGACAAGAAGAAATAAAAGGCATCCAAATTGGAAAAAAAGAAGTAAAACTATCCTTATTTGCAGATGACATGATACTAAACATAGAAAACCCCAAAGACTCCATCAAAAAACTACTAGACCTAATAAATGAATTTGGCAAACTCAAAATGGATAAAGGACTTAAACGTAAGACAGGAAACCATAAAAATCTTAGAAAAAGCCATTGGCAGCAAAATAGCAGACATATGTCGTAGCAATATCTTTACCGTTACAGCTCCCAGAGCAATGGAAACTAAGGAGAAAATAAACAAATGGAACTACATCAAAATAAAAGGCTTCTGGCACAGCAAAAGAAACCATCAACAAAGCAACAAAAGAGCCCCACTACATGGGAGAACATAATTGCCAATGTTATCTCCGATAAGGTTTTAATCTCCTAAATTTATAGGGAACTCATACAACTTAACAAAAGGAAGATAAACAACCCAATTAAAAAATGGGCAAAGGATCTAAATAGACACCTTTCAGAAGAGGACCTACAGAAGGCCAAGAGACATATGAAAACATGCTCAAAGTCACTAATCATCCGACAGATGCAAATCAAAATGACAATGAGGTACCATCTCACACCTGTCAGAATGGCTATCATCAACAAATCAACAAACGACAAGTGCTGTCGAGGATGCGGAGAAAAAGGAACCCTCGTGCACTGCTGGTGGGAATGCAGACTGGTACAGCCACTGTGGAGAACAGTATGGCATTTCCTCAAAAAATCAAAAATGGAATTTCCATTTAATCCAGTAATCCCACTTCTAGGAATATATCCCAAGAAAACAGAAACACCAATCAGAAAGGATATATGCACCCCTCTGTTCATAGCAGCACAATTTACAATAGCTAAGATTTAGAAACAGCCTAAGTGCCCATCAGCAGATGAGTGGATTAGAAAACTTTGGTACATCTACACAATGGAATACTATGATGCTGTCAAAAAGAAGGAATTCTTACCATTTGCAATAGCATGGATGGAACTGGAGAACATTATGGTAAGCGAAATAAGCCAGTAAGAGAAAGATAAATATCACATGATCTCACTCATTTGTGGAATATAATGAACAACATAAACTGATGAACACAAATAGAACCGGAGTCATAGAAGCATCAAACAGACTATCCAACCTATGAGGGAAGGTAGGGGGTTAGGGGGTAAGAGATCAACCAAAGGACTTGTATGCATGCATATGAGCAAAACCAATGGACACAGACACGGGGGGAGGTGCCTGAGGGCATTTGCTGGGGGTGGGGTTGGCCGGGGAGAGGTCAATGGGGGAAAAAGGAGACTTATGTAATACATTAAACAATAAAGAATTTAAATTAAAAAAATAAAGATGAAAAACAAACAGAAAAACTACCTATGGCTGTGGCCAGTGTCACTTAGTTGGTTGGAGCATCATGATTCCCAGTCAAGGCACATACAGGGGAAGGGAAGGGGGAGAAGGGGGGCACATGGGAGTCAACCAATTGATGTTTCTCTCTGGCTTCAATCTCTCCCTCTCTCTCTCTCTCTCTCTCTCTCTCTTTCTCTCTCTTTCTCTCTCTCTCTCTCTCTCTCTCATCAATAAAAACGTATCCTTGGATGAGAATTAAAAAACTACTTATGAAGCTTTCAAAAGAAAATATACCAGCGGTAAAGGTACACAAGCAGAGTTAAGAACCACTACCTTATAATTTTATAAGAGATAATATATGTTTCAGGGCATATAGGCAAAACAAAAAACTTTTACACAACTGTGGCCATGAAATTATAATATTTTTGTAATAACTACATTTTAATCCATTTAGATTGATGTAAATAGTCTAGTAATACAGAGGTTAGCTGTAACTGTCTGCAGTCTCCTTTCCAATATATTTTTCATTCTGCCATATTTACTCTGTATTTCTATACAGCCATTCTTTGTGATTATGGCTTATCAATAGGTTGACATATAACTTACTATACAAACCAGGTATTCTGAGGGTAAAAGTAGGTACCTTTAATAACTAAACTAGACAACAGTCATAAACTTTAGACTGTCCACACAAACATGATGTATGAACATTCTACCTATAATAAATCCCCAATATTTTATATCCTAGTTTAATGGGTATAATATTAAGCTAGGTACCAGGTGATCTAATTTAATTTCCAAATATTTTACTTAAAATAAAAAAAACCCACATTCTCCATCACTTCAGTTTCTCCAATTCTAAATCTGACATCTCTTAGCATAATTTAACTATAAATAATACTTTATAGAGCACTGAGAATGCTCTGGAGGATGCTGTGTGAAGCTTTATTTCTGAAGCTTATAGATAAGTTTAGTATACTGAACAGTATTAACAAAGGATGGTAAATATTTGGCATATATTGCCACTTACCACCTGCACAGTTGTGGCAGTATCACTAATCTATCATGATACATCTTCTACTAAACATGAAAACAGCAAACACATCTCACATATATAACTTGATTCAAGAAAAGAGAAACACACAACAAATTTAACATCAACGTAACTCTGTAGAAGAAATATGGAAAAACATATTTAAATGAGTTCTATAATAGTGAAGTCCATACAATTTTCCTACACACACATACACACACACACACAATGCATTTGATAATGTAAGAAGAAAGATTAGGACTTAGGCATGAAAAGCCCAAATGGCCTATGACAAAATGGAAAAGAATTATACTCACTTGCTTTCTTCATCTAAAAGATGGAGCAGTCCTGTTGGTTTCTTGCTAATAAGATTTATGCAACAGGTGTTATCTATATAATCTATATTGTGCCAGCTGATACCTTCAGCTCTGTATTCCTCCTAGAAAACAACAAATTAACAATTTATTCATCTTGCAGAAAGTAATAGGTATATGATAATAAGGACTGAAAAACTTTTCACAGGATTAAAAAAGAATAGTCTAAAGTTTCCTCTTTTAAATCAGGAAGACACATGACAAAAGGTGTAATTTCAATTTTATAAAATCTTGATACAGTATGTGTCTATTTCCTTTAAAAAGTACATGCAACTAAATTTTTTTGTTAAATCCTACTTGTGATACATTCAGATCAAAATTTAGGGTTAAATTTGTTTTAGACATCCTATTTGATGATTACACTAAGGAAAAATATAAAATAGAGAATCCTAATTTCTCCCATGTGACTATAAATCATCAACAATGAATTTAATAAAACAATGTCTGGGCAAAGTGGAAAACCATCACCTCCAGTGATCACCGATATAAATCATATAGAATTCAAATATACTTGCCTTTAACAAAATAAAACCCTTAGTATATTTTCCAAAACAACAAGGTTTCACATTCCAACACTTAAAAACTCAAACCTCAGGCCTTGAGCAACTATTCAAAACAAAAAAAAAAAAAAAAAAAAAAAAAAAACACCCCACATTCCTTACTAATATTTCTCTGTACTGAAAAAATATTATTTTACCCATCAGTGAGATGCTTTTACTTTTTGACTATTTTCCAGAAAGATGCCCCTGAGAATCTAAGAAGATATGTTTCTATATTGCAGGGATATCTAGGCACCAAGAAAATACTATGTTCACATGATGGTTTTAGTATTCACTGAAAATACTTGCTTACTTCTCTGTAAATATGGTGATTTTATAATTTTCATCACTTTCTGTATTATTATCATCCTACAAAGAAAAATAACCCTAATATACAGGAGGCAACCAATTGATGATAGTTATTCTAACTGGGAAAGCAAAAATGCTTAAATCTTTCCTTTTAATTAAAAATTTCTCAAGTAAGACTTCCAGTCAAAACGGCACAGTAGGTATATGCAGTGCTCTCACCTCCTCCCACACCCACATCAAAATTACAACTAAACTATGGAATGACCATCATTGAGAACCGCCTGAAGACTAGCTGAACAGAAGTTCTATAACTAAAAATATACAGAAGAAGCCACATCAAGACCAGTAGAAGGGGTGGAGATGCAAAACGGGCGAGTCCCACACCCATGTGTGGCAGTTAAAAATCAGGAAGGATAACTCAGCTGCAGAGGTCCCTCCTGAGGAGTGAGGGGTTCCAGCCCCATACCAGGCTCCCCAGCCTAGGGTTCCAATGCCAGGAAGAGAAGTCCCATAACCTGCGGCTGTGAAAACCATTGCATTCCTCTTAAAGGGCCTGTGCACAGATTTACTCACTGACTCACTTGCTCTTGAGTAGCAGTACTGGGGGGCAGCAACTCAAAAAGCACCAGGCACATACAGGAAGGAACTGAACAGTCTGGCTTCAAAGCAAGGGCTAGAAGAGCAGCTTTCTCTCAGGCAGAAGTGCTGGCAGATGCCACTGTTCCTTTGTTGAGCCCCCTCCACCTAGCCTAGAGGTAAAGGCCAGTGCCAAGTCTGAGTATCCATCAACCTGGCTAATGCCCTGCCTGTTGATCTCTGAGATGCCATCCCACACAACTTGTGGGCCAACTCAAGCCACTTTTCCATTTAAATAGCCTGTCTCAGCTAGCGCTGGGGACTTTCCTAAATCTCTCAAAGGTTCACAAACCCCTAACAAGCAGTGGCTGACCTCAGAGTACCCCATTCTTCTTGTTAAGCAAGGCCCAAGCCCAGCACTAGTGCCAGCTAGCCTTAGATGGCAGCTTAGATTCTCCCAGGCACCTCCAAGCCAAACACAAGTAGCAACCATTTGCAGATCACTTTGTAGCCCATACCATGTGGCCCCAGAATGGCATAGGCAGTAGCTGACCTTGGCCTGCACCAGAGACCATCCCAAGAGGCGCCAGAATCTACATACCCAGTGACTAACTTCAGACCACAACAGACCACCCAATCTCTTCTACAAATGACTTGCCAAAGGGCAAATTCAGCAGGCACTAGAGCCCCACTAACATAAATCTTGCTCCATGGGGTCAACCCCTGCACAACAGTATCTCTGATGTAATCATGACCATTCCTCATGGCCATTCAGCCTGAGGGTAAATCCCTCCCACTGAAGTGCCAACAGCAATCAAAACTCAACTACAACAGAAGGACACACAAAACCCACACAAGGGAGCACCTAACTCATGTGACCTGGGAGACTGTGCCACTGGACCTCACAAGACACCTAGTACGTAAGGCTACTCTATCAAGCCTGGAAACATGAAACATCTACCTAATACATAGAAACAAACACAGGGAGGCAGCCAAAATGAGGAGACAAAGAAACATGTCACTAATGAAAGAACAGGAGGAAACTAAAGAAAACTAAACTAAATGGAGACAAATAATCTACCAGATGCAGAGTTTGAAACACTGGTTATAAGAATGTTCAATGAATGTAGGGGAAGAGTAGATGAACTCAGTAAGAACTTTAACAAAGAGATAAGAAACATAAAAATCGGAAACAAAACATGAAAAAAGAACCAGTAAAAAATGAAGAATACAATCACTAAAAGTAAAGAATAAATTAGATTAAATCAACAGTAAATTTGATGAAGCAGATGACAGAATCAGCTATTTGGAAAGTAGGGTAGCAGAAAACACCCAATCAAAACAGCAAAAAGAAAAAACAATTTTTTAAATGAGGATAGTTTAAGGGACCTCTGGAACAACCTCAAGTGTACCAACAATCATTCGCATCATGGGGGTGTTAGAAGGAGAAGAGAGAGAGCAAAGAAATGACAACTTAGTTGAAGAAATAATGATGGAAAACTTCCCTAACCTGGCAAAGGAAATAGATACAAGTGCAGGAAGTCCAGAGTCCCAAAAAAGATGAAACCAAACAGACTCACACTAACATACATCAGAATTAAAATGACAAAGGTTAGAGACGAAAATAAAATCTTAAAAGCAGAAAGAACCCAGTTTGGCTCAGTGGATAGAGCGTAGCCCTGCAGATTGAAGAGTCCCAGTTCTATTCTAGTCAAGGACATGTACCTCGATTGCAGGTTCTATCTGTGGCTCTGGTTTGAGCACGTGCAGGAGGCAACCAATGGATGTGGCTCTCTCACATCGATTTTTCTCTCTATATCTATCTCTCTCATCCCTTCCACTCTCTCTAAAAATCAATGGAAAAATATCCTCAGGTGAGGATTAACAAAAAAATATAATTAATTGATTAAAATTAATAGGAAAATATCCTCCGGTAAGGATTAACAATAAATAAATAAATAGATAGATAGATAGATAGATAGATAGATAGCAGCAAGAAAAAGGCACTTAGTGACCTACAAAGGGAGCTCCCATGGATTGTCAGCTAATTTCTCAACAAAAACTTTGAAGGCCAGAAGGAATTAGCATAAAACATTCACTGTGAGGAAAAGGAAGAACCTGCAACCAAGATTCCTCTATTCAGTAAGGCTATCATATAGAATTGAAGGACAAATAAAGAACTTCCCAGATAAGAAACAGTTAAAGAAGTTCATCACTACCAAATCAGTTTTTACAAAAAATAAGATAAGAAATATAAATAATAAAATAGCAATAACTGAATACCTATTAATTACTTTACAGTTTTTTAGAGAGAAGGGGAAGAGAAGAGAGAGAGAGAGAGAGAGAGGGAGGGAGAGAGACAGAGAGAGAGAGAAACACTGATGTGAGGGAGAAATAATGATTGGTCGCCTCTCATACATTCTCTAACCCCGGACCAGACCCAAAACCTAGGTACTAGTATATGCCCTGCCCGGGAATGGAAACCTCAAGCTTTCGAGGGGGTGCTGGAAGCTTTCGCTGGTATGGGACAACACTCCAACCATCTGAGCCACACTAGCCAGGGCTATCAATAATTACTTTAAATGTTAATGGATTAATGGTCCAATCAATAGCCATAGGATGGCCAAATGGATAAAAATACAAGACCCAAACATATGCTGTCTACAGGAGTGCCACTTCAGGTCAAAAGACAAACAAAAATTGAAAATAAAGAGATAGAAAAAATATTTCATGCAAATGGAAACGAATAAAAAGTTGGGGTAGCAATATTTATATCAAACAAACAGACACTTAAACAAAGGCTATTACAATAGACAAAGAAGGACCCAGCAATTCTACTTCTGGGTATTTATCCTAAGAAAGCTAAAACACAAACTCAAAAAGACATTTGCATCCCTATGTTCACTGCAGCATTATTTACAATAGCCAAGATAGGGAAGCAACCTAAGTACCCACTGACAGACAAATCGATAAAGAAGATGGAATATGACTCCGCCATAAAAAAGAGTGATATCTTGCCGTTTTCGACAACACAGATGGACCTAGAGGGTATTATGCTAAGTAAAATGAGTCAGAGAAAGACAAATGTTATATGATTTCACTTATATGTGGAATCTAAAAAAAGTAAAATAAATGAATAAACAAAACAGAAACAAACTCATAGATACAGAAGATATTTTGATGGTTTCCAGACGGGAGGAGACTTGGGGGAATGGATGAAAAAATGGGAAGGGATTTAAATGTGCAAATTGCCAGTTATAAAAAAAGTCAAGTACAGCACAGGGAATATCTACACTAATAAAAGAGAAACATGGAAATTGGCGTATGACCGCTACCCTTCCCATTGGCTAATCAGCATATCCTTATGCAAATTAACTGTC